AAAAAAAATTTTTTTTTTGAGATGGCGTTTCGCTCTTGTTGCCCAGGCTGGAGTGCAATGGAGTGACCTTGGCTCACTACAACCTCCGCCTCCTGGATTCAAGCAATTCTTCCGCCTCAGCCTCCCAAGTAGCTGGGATTATGGGTATGAGCCACCACACCCGGCTAATTTCTTATTTTTAGTAGAGATGGGGTTTCTCTATGTTGGTCAGGCTGGTCTGGAACTCCCAACCTTAGGTGATCTACCTGCCTTGGCCTCCCAAAGTGCTGGGATTACAGGCATGAGTCACCGCACCTGGCCAAAAAAAAATTTATTTTTTTACATTAGCTGAGCATAGTGGCACATGCCTGTTGTCCTAGCTACTTGGGAGGCTGAGGCAGGACGATCACTACAGCCCAGGAGTTGGAGGCTTCAGTGAACTGTGATCGCACCACCGTACTCCAACCTGGGCAAAATGAGACCTTGTCTCAAAAATAAATAAAATACTAATAAAAAGTTAATGTCTAACTGTACAGAGTCCAAAACCTAATCAATACTACATAGTGTATTTTTTCTTTTTTTTTCTGCTATAGGTTTGTCTGTTATACATATTATATTAAACAAAGTTACCTTCCCCTAAAGCATCAAGATGGCCTAGTATAACTGTAAAAGCAGTTATGTCCAAGTTTGGATAGCTTTTCTTTGCCCCTGTGATGGTAGGGGCTCTGTATTGGCCATTTTTTTGCCAGTGGCTAGGCCCAGAAATACTGGTGAACGAATGAGGAGGCCTACATCACCTGGCTGTTGTGAGGACATCATGAGATAATACTTGCAAACTGCTTGTCAAAGAATCTGGCACATAGTGGGTGCTTCAGACATAGGAGGAGTTATTGTTATGTGGCAACTGGGTGGTGGGAGGGAGCTGGTTATGACTCAGAGGCATTGTGTAGCCAAGACTCTTGTCATGGAGGGGCCTGAGGCAGGGTCCTGGGGCCTGTGTGCCTCCATGCCACAATGCTGGCGGAACTGATATTTCTCTTTAGGAGTCTCCATGGGATACTTGCCTCCTCGGGCACCATAGGAGCAGCGGCAATTTGGCTGATGAGCTATAAGCCAGTCTTGTTTGGGTTCCTATTCCTTCTGCTGTTGCTTAGCAACTGGCTGGTCAAGCATGAACACAAGCTCACCCTCCCAGAGCCCCAGCAGGTGAGCAAGACAGGCCTTGGCTTCAGCTCAGGGATAGGGGATATTTGTAGCTAGATTGGGTTGGGAGGTAGGGAATAGGGAGGTGTCGAAATAATGGGGCTGGACTGGGGAATCCAAGACTCTGTTCTAAATCACCATTCTACAGCTTCCTCTTAGATGATGCTGGCAAATTTCTTCCCTCCACAAGGGGCATCAGTTGCCTCAGCTGTTAAATCAGGACCACCCCAGACTTTCCTATTTCATGTTTGATGTCAGCATGCTTTGGCAAGAGTAACAACCACTTTAATGTGAAAAAAATTTTTTTAATTAAAATGGATGAACATAGATACATCTCTAAAATAGAATAATAAAGACAGCAGAAATGTACATAGATTATGACATCTTTCATTTAATGTTAAAAAAAAATGCTAGGCCAGGTACAGTGGATCACATCTGTAATCCCAGCACTTTGGGAGGCTGAGGCAGGTGGATCGCTTGAAGTCAGGAGTTCAAGACCAGCCTGGCCAACATAGTGCACCTGTAATACAAGCTACTCAGGAGGCTGAGGCAGAAGGATCACTTGAACCTGGGAGGCAGAGGTTACAGTGAGCTGAGATCATGCCACTGCACTCTACCCTGGGTGACAGAGCAAGACTCCTCTAAAAACAAAAACAAAACCAAAAAACATGCAAAACGGCCCAGCACAGTGGCTCACACCTATAATCCCTGCACTTTGGGATGCCGAGGCAGGTAGACCACTTGAAGCCAGGGGCTCGAGAATAGCCTGGGCAACATGGTGAAACTATGTCTCTACAAAAAATACAAAAATGAGCCAGGCATGGCGATATGCGCCTATAGTCCCAGCTACTCAGGAGACTGAGGCTGGAGAATCACCTGAGCCCAGGAAGTTGGGGCTACAGTGAACTGTGATCATGCTACTGCACTCCAGCCTGGGTGACGGAGTGAGATTGTCTCAGAAAAAAAAAAAAAAATGCAGGCTGGGGGCAGTGGCTTATGCCTGTAATCCCAACACTTTGGGAGGCCGAGGCGGGTGGATCAGGAGGTCAGGAGTTCAGACTGGCCAACATGGTGAAACCCTGTCTCTACTAAAAAATACAAAAAATTAGCTGGGTATGGTGGCTCATGCCTGTAATCCCAGCTCTTTGGGAGGCTGAGGTAGGAGAATTGCTTGAACCAGGACCTGGAAGGCAGAGGTTGCAATGAGCTGGGATCGCACCACTGCACTCCAGCGTGAGCTACAGAGCAAGACTCCATCTCAAAAAAGAAAAACAAAGCAAAACAACAGCCTATCTTGTTTATGGATGCATATGTGCAGTGAACGTAGTTTAAGGCAGGATATCTCAACCGTGGCACTGTTGACATTTTGGGCCAGATGATTCTTTATTGTAGGGGGCTCACCTATCACCTGTGCATTGTTAGCTTAGGGGCATCTCTGGCCCCCACCTGTGAGATGCCAAGTAGCACACCCCCGATTTTGTGACAAACGTTCTTCCAGACATTGCCAAATGGAGGGCAGAATGCCTTCCATTGAGAACTACTTTATAAAGAAACGCATGGAAAAATAAATACTAAATGCAGGATTACAGTTGAGATGATGATATTCAGAGAGGGGTAGAACGCTGTGGGTGGGAGAGTCCACAGAGAACTTTGGTTATATTTATATTTTATTTCTTACGTTAATATGGGAATATGAGCATTTGTTATATTATTTAGCTTTTTTTTTGCATGTCAGATATGTTTAATTTTTTTCAGTTAACCATTTTATTTTATTTATGTATTTAGTTTTTTAAGACAGGTCTCACTCTGTGGCCCAGGCTAGATGCAATGGCACAACCATGGCTTACTGCAGCCTCGACCTCCGTGGGCTCAGGTGATCCTTCCACCTCAGCCTCCCAAGTAGCTGGGACTACAGGTGTGCACAGGGGTAATTTTTTCTAGTTTTTGTAGAGATGAGATTTACCATATTGCCCAGGCTAGTTTCAAACTCCTGGGCTCAAGCGATCCTCCTGCCTCGGACTTCCAAGGTACGGGGATTATAGGCATGAGCCACCACACCTGGCCTAATTTTTAAATATTTTTAAAGACCATTAGTTTGTAGCTGAGTCCAAAAAGAAAAAAATTGAGTGTTATATTTAACCAGGGGAAGGAGAGATGAGAACCAGAGAGATAAAAGCATGTCATGAGACCACTGAGACTTTGTAGTTTCCGATCATGCTGAGCCTGACAAAATGCTCAGAGAGGCACGTTGGAAAAACAGTCTCCTGGAGATAGATGTATTTAGGCCAAGGGCTTTATGTCCACTGCAACTGGCGGATTAGCCAGCCATCTCCTGCATTCCTATGAACCAAAGGCCAGCAGGGGACTCAGGAATTTAAGGCTGTGTGATGCTGAGAAAGCGACTTCCCAGCTGGGAATGGTAGCTCACACCTGTAATCCCAGCACTTTGGGAGACCAAGGCGGGCAGATCACCAGAGGTCAGGAGTTTGAGACTAGCCTGGTTAACATGGCAAAACCCCATCTCTACTAAAAATACAAAAATTAGCCAGGCGTGGTGGCTGAGGCTGGAGAATCATTTGAACCCAGGGGGTGGAGGTTCAGTGAGTCAAGATGGCGCCATTGCACTCCAGCCTAGGCAACAAGAGTGAAACTCCGTCTTAAAAATAAGAAAGTGATCTCCATTGCTGGGTCCCAAGTCTCCACAAAATGAGGCAAAGACGCTCCCCTTGCAGGCAGTGGTGAGAATCTATTAAGATAATGTTTGTAAACCACCTGGCACAGAGCAGGTGTTCAAACAAGGAAGGGATTATCATTATTAACCAACTTTCCCCTTTTCCTGGCGGTGGGGAGCTTAGAAGGAAGAAGAGAAACCAAATGCTTCCGAAAACGACTCCAAGAACACGAAAGAAGTTGAGAGAATGCATGCCTGCTTTGCCCTCCAGGACAAGGTCCTCCAACGGCTTCTGTTCAGTGAAATGAAGCTGAAGGTCCTAGAGAATCAGATGTTCATCATATGGAATAAAATGAATCACCACAGGCGGTCAAGCAGACATCGGAATTTTCCCATGAAGAAACACAGAATGAGGAGGCATGAGTCGATTTGCCCCACCCTGTCTGACTGTATTTCCAGTTCCCCCAGCTAATGAGGCTGAGGTAGGCTGGCCTCTGCAGATGTTACCTTGACTCAGTAAAACCCAGTCACAGCCTATTGCATATTAGTAGTAAGTTATAACAGAAAGGTGCCTAGGAGCCAGGAGGAGGATCAGAGGCTGAAAGATTGCCTCTGGAAAAGAAATCTACACAGCAGGTCTACCAGGTAGCACATAGTGTCATGGCCTAATGGGGCTCTAGAACCATCTCTTTCTAGAGCCCTCTATTTCAGTTGTATCTATCCTGGTTCCTCCCTGGCCCTGTGCTGTTCACCCTGAGTCTCCCCACTACTGTCCCAGCCCCTAGTCTCCCCTCTCATCCTACACCCAGAGGCCAGAGCCAGCCCTGCCAAGCCTGTCTCTGACCATGTCCCTTGCTCATTTTTTTTTTGGGATGGAGTTTCGCTCTTGTCGCCCAGGTTGGAGTGCAATGGCGTGATCTTGGCTCACTGCAACATCCACCTCCTGGGTTCAAGCGATTCTTCAGCCTCAGCCTCCCAAGTAGCTGGGATTACAGGTGCCTGCCACCACGCCTGGCTAATTTTTGTATTTTTAGTAGAGACAGGGTTTCACCATGTTGGCCGGGCTGGCCTGGAACTTCTGACCTCAGATGATCCAGCTGCTTCGGCCTCCCAAAGTGCTGGGATTACAGGCGTGAGCCACCGTGCCCAGCTCATGTTATTGAGTTTCAACCAGAGCTCGGTTGCCCACTGACAGATATGAGCTGGTGAGTTTTGTGTTATAAAGTGACATCAGCAAGTGTTAGAGCTTGAAAGACCAGCCAGCACCTAGCCGAGACTTTTCTTTGTAATGAGAACTGGAAAGGAAATAATTATCTCACTGTTAGATTCAGTGTGACTTAGTGTTATGTTGGTGTTCTACGTAAAATCCTCTCTCTCGTGCAAGTCTCATGTATTCTAACCAAACCAGAGGACCTGCCATTCCCCAAATGCATCCGCGTCTTTGCTTACATTGTTTCTTCCCCTGTGATCTCTAATTTTCTCCTTTCTGCTGTTATAATTCTTCACTTCTTCCAAAGCCATCATGTCTAGGAAGCTCCCCTCAACCCAGCTATGATGAATCTTTTTCCTTAGCATTCTTTCCACATTTTATCTGTAGTTCTACAATAAAATGAATCACAATCTGCTGGGATTTGATTTGTACATATTACGACAGTCCTTCACCATGCTTCAACTAGGCTATAAAATCTTTGAAGACAAGCAGAGAATATTGTTCATCTGTGTATCCCTCCCCCACCTGTAACACCTAACACAGTGGCTAGTATACAAGTGGTGCTCAATAAAGAATATCTAGGCCAGGTATAATGGCTCATGCCTGTAATCCCAGCACTTTCGGAGGCCGAGGCAGGCAGATCACCTGAGGTCAGGAGTTTGAGACCAGCCTGGCCAACACGGTGAAAACCTGTCTACTAAAAATACAAAAATTGACCAGGTGTGATGGCACATACCTCTAATCCCAGCTACTTGGAAGTCTGAAGCAGGAGAATAGTTTGAACCTGAAAGGTGAAAATTGCAGTGAGCCAAGATCATGCCACTGCACTCTAGCCTGGGCAACAGAGTGAGACTTCGTCTCAAAAAGAAAAAAAAAAATCAATGTCTTATGTATCCAGACATTTTCTCTGTCCTCTCATTTTTATGATGATTCTGCTATATCCTATTTTGTTTGAGAGCAGAGTCTCTGGGGCTAAACTGCCTGGGGCTAAACTGCTTAAATCCTAACTTACCAACTCTCCGTTGTGTGATCTTGAACAACTCATGGTTGTTTATTCTTCCTGCACCTCAGTGTCCTTAACTATAAAATGGGCAGATTAACACCATGAATCTTACAGAATTTATAGATGATGTCTTATAGATGGCGTCTTAGTCTGTTTGTGCTTCTGTAACAAAATTCCTGGCTCATGCGATTGCTCATGCTTGTAATCTCAGCACTTTAGGAGGCAGAGACAGGAGGATCACTTGTGCCCAGGAGTTTGAGACCAGCCTGGGCAACTTGGTGAAACCTCGTATCTACAAAAAATACAAAAAAACTAGCTGGACATGGTGGTGCATCCATGTGGTCCCAGCTACTTGAGAGGCTGAGGTGTGAGAGTCACCTGAGCCTGGGAGGTCAAGGATGCAGTAAGCCATGATCGTACCACTGCCTGGGTGACAGGGTGAGATCCCATCTCAAAAAGCAAAAACAAAAAAATTAGCTGGGTGTGGTGGTGTGCACCTGTAGTGCCAGCTACTTGGGAAGCTGAGGTGGAAGGATCGCTTGAGCCCAGGAGGCAGAACTCGAAATGAGCCAAGATCGCACCACTGCACTCCAGCCACATACAAACAAATACCTGAGACAGGATAATTTGTATATAAAAATAACATTCCTTCAGCCAAAAATAAATAAATAAATAAATAAAAATAAAAATAACAACAACAGGTATTTATTTCTCACAATTCTGGAGGCTGGGCAGTCCAAGATCAAGGCTGTGGCATCTGGTGAGGTTGGCTCTCTGCTTCCAAGATGGCACCTTGAAAGCTATATCTTCGAAGAGGAAGAATGCTGTGCCCTCATTAAGCATGAGGTAGAAGGGCAAAAGGGAACAAACTTCTTTTATCAATCATTTTATAGTGGCATTGATCCATTCACAAGGACAGCCCCCTCAGGACCTAAATACCTCCACAAAGGCCACACCTCTGAATGCTGTTGCATTGGAGATTTTTTAACACATGTATTTTGGGTGACACATTCAGACCATAACATTCCTTCCCTGGTCCCCCAAATTTATGTCCTTGTCACATGCAAAATCCTTATCTAAATCAGATATGGGTGAGACTCAAGGTACAATTATTTTGAGGCAAATTTCCCTCCAGTTGCAAACAAATGTGAAATCAAACAAATCATGTGCTTCCAAAATGCAATAGTGAGACAGGCATAGGATAGATATTTCCATTCCAAAAGGGAGAAATAGAAAAGAAGACAGGACTAACAGGCCCCAAGTACATCCAAAACTATTTTTTTTGAGACAAGATCTGGCTCTGTCGCCCAGGCTGGAGTGCAGTGGCATGATCTCGGCTCACTGCAACCTCTGCCTCTCAGATTCAAGCATTTCTCCTGCCTCAGCCTCCTGAGTAGTTAGGATTACAGGCACCCATCAGCATGCCTGGCTAATTTTTGTATTTTTAGTAGAGATGGGGTTTCACCATGTTGGGCAGGCTGGTCTTGAACTCCTGGCCTCATAGGGGTTCGCCCACCTGGGCCTCCCAAAATGCTGAGATTACAGGCATGAGCCACCGTGCCCAGCCTGCTTCTTTTAATTGTAAGTTTCATCTTTAAATCATTTCTCTCTTCTTGGGCTTTATCAATCAATTTAGAAAGTTTATTTTGCCAAGTTTAAGGACCGACATGTGACACAGCCTCAGGAAGACCTGACGACATGCGTGCCCAAAGTGGTTGGAGCACAGCTTGGTTTTACACATTTTAGAAAGACACGACACCTCAATCAATATGTATATGTTGTATATTGGCTTTGGGAGGCTGAGGTGGGCAGATCACTTGAGCTCAGGAGATCAAAACCAGTCTGACCACTGTGGTGAAACCCCATCTCTACTAAAAATGCAAAAAAATTAGCTTAGAATGGTGGTGGGAACCCATAATCTCAGCTACTGGGGAGGCTGAGGCAGGAGAACCGGTTGAACCTTGGAGGTGGAGGTTGCAGTTAGCTGAGATTGCACCACTGTACTCCAGCCTGGGCAAAAGAGTAAGACTCCATTTCAAAACAAACAAACAAACAAACAAAAAACAACAAAAAAAAATGATGTACATTGGTTCAGTCCTGAAAGGTGGAACAACTCAAAGCATGGAGGAGGCTTCCAGGCTGTAGGTAGGTAAGAGACAAACGATTGTATTCTTTTGAGTTTCTGATTAGCCTTTCGCTGAATATACATTTTACAGGAATAGTCCCTTATGCCTTAGTCTGGCTTAGTGAAACAATAAGGCAAAGGAAGCAATCAGATATGCATTTGTCTCATGTAAGCAGAGGGATGACTTTGAGTTCTGTCTGTTCTTTATTCACAAGGAATTTCCTTGTGGGCAAATTGTGAGGGAAGTATGTAACTTTTTAATCTTTGTAGCTATCTTCTTTAGGAATAGAATGGGAGGCAGTTCCCAACTTGACCTTTCCTTTCCTTTGGCTTAATGATTTGGGATTTGGAGATTTATTTTCTTTTCACATTTCCCTCCTTTTCTTTTAAAAATCTTTTGGAGAAAGCATTTTAGAAGAGACTGAGTCTCTGGTCTCAGGGTTTTTTTATTTTTATTTTTTAGAGACAAGGTCTCACTATGTTGCTCAGGCTGGTCTTGAACTCCTGAGCTCAAGTGATCTGCCCACCTCAGCCTCCCAAAGTGCTGGGATTATAGGAGTGAACCACCACACCTGCCCTGGTCTCAGGTTTTGTCTGATCTTTCATGGGCAGGGTAGCTTATTGGTAGTTAGGAAGGTCCCATGTTATTAGGAAAGCTCATTTTTAGCAGATTACAAAGTCTTACATCCTGTGAAGAGAAAATAGGGGAAAGGAGAGAAAAACAACAGCAAACAAACAAAAAAATAATAAATGAAGAACAACCCTGGAAAATCAATATAGGCCATATTACTCTGAAGTCCATACATCAGTAGGCAGGTATAAAAGTGCTTTATGTATGTAAATAGTAGCATGATCTAGTGCTGTTATTTTCTTCTGAAGTTTAAGTTGTCTGGCTTTAGCTTACAGGACTTTAAGAAAGCATAGCTTAAGTTTTAGTAATTTCAAATCAGGAAAAATAGGAGGGAAAAGGAAAAGAAAGAAGGAAAAAAAAAGGAAAACATTACTTTAGCCTGGAAAATTTTAGAATTCAGTCCAAACTCTAGAAAATAATAAAAATTGAAAAACATTAGGCAAGACCAAACTCTAACAACAGGTGTACTATAGTTTATTTTGAAACATAATTTTTCTCTCTCTAGTTCCATTTTCACTAAAGACAATTCACAGGACAAATTCATTTTCAAAACAAATTTTAGTCTTGT